GGCTTCAACGGGGCCAGGATTTCACCCAGTGGCACAACCATACAAGAGGTGCTGGGATAGTGTGCGACCTATATAGATAGCACTGAAATTGCTTGGCCTTGTGTTGAATTCTTAGCTATTTTTGTGGCATTACAAGTTCTGGAATTACTGCATCCCCGCTTTCTGTGCTGGCATCTCTCTGTGGTATGTAGTTATTTTATAAACTTGTTATTCCTCTTGGCAAGTGCCAGATGCATTTTTATAAATAATCTGTCACCGTTTCATAACAAGACCTTCCGAAACAACACCCCCGCTGGCCTTTTTAAAAATGGCAAAGTCTTTACATCTCTTGTGTTAGGTGCTGTACATGTAGGGATCGGGGGAATGAAGGGGGAAGAATTAATCCTTACCCCACAGCCCTCAAACCCATTTATTCCGCCAATCTTTCCCTACATGATCTGTACAGGAGCTGTTGGCCTGTTTCTCCTTTTGGCTGCATTAATTATAAACTTGCCAGGACAGAAAGCTTTCCATCTTACAGCAGGCTGGCCTAACGGACAGCACAGCCAACAAGAACTCAGGAGACCTGTACTCTATTCCTGGCTCAGCTAGTCACTTGTTGGGTCACTTCGGCCAAGTCAGGTCTCCTCTCAGTACATCAGTTTCCTCAGCTGTAAAATGGTGATAATATACTAATCTCCTTTGTAAAGTTGCTGTGAAGTCTACTGATGAAAATTGCTACAGGAAGGCAGGGTATTATAAAAGCATCTTATCTTTATTTACATAAGTCCATATAAAACCAGAAACCCTCCGCTGAACCCTTTAGGAGTTGCACTGATTTAGATTTGCAACTGCGCCGTAATTCTGGGAGTAAATGCAGGCAGCTTTCTAGCCTAAGTGCAAGACACTATAGGTTCAAAGAGCAGTAACCTGCTTAATTGGAAGGCAAAGAGTTAGCAGCTGTCCTTACCTTGTCTGGAAAGCACAAGTCTGGACACAGCTCCTGGGCAGCTCCCAGCTATTCATTTTCCTTTTAGCTCAAAAACCAGATGCCAATTCCTGCCTCATTAAATCTTGTTCCACTGATCTTCATCCAGTATCCACTGATGGACCTGGTAGGAGTGCTGTCATACTTAAACTTTCATCTGGGCTTTTGCACTGGTTACAAGACCCAAAAACACCACAATAAAAAACAAACACGCCACTGTCTTTAATGCTGTATCTAAGCAAGACCAGCTAAGAGAGTGGATCTGTCATTAGGGCTAATGCTACCCTTCCCTGGCTGGCCAGCAAGTTCCCCACAAGACACAGCATTCAGCAAAAAGGGTCCTTCATTTCATGAGAAAGGTGCAAAACATTGGTAGCAAAATTAGTGGTGCAGCCAGCAATGCTCAACCCAACCCAAGCGACATGAAGTTTTCATTGCAACAGTGGGAAGAATAAAGCTCCAGTGGTTGGCCTGGCCAGTTTAATTGGTCATTTACCTGCTTAGTAAGACAGATGGACTTCAGGCACCCAAGGCAGCATTAAGATTTATCATCCTGCATACGCAGCATCAGGCCATTTGAAAGCACAGATGCTCTTAACTAAGGGAAAGCGCTTAGGTCTCAGTGGGAGCTATTGAGACTGCACCTGATTTGAAATGAAAAAGGCAGGTAGCAGTGGTTTTAAATCTCAAAAGGTGGTGCGGGGGAGGGTGGCTATTAAGTTACACTCATGCAATTTGGAAGCGTTTTTATGCCCAAAGAACTAACACCCTGTTCAGTTTCCCCTGCTTAGATAAGTGACCAAGGCCCTTTGTGCCACTTCCTGCAATTCACTGTCCTTGCTTTGGCTCTTCCAAGGCAGCACTTTCTACCTGAGTGAGGAGGTGCTGGTGCAGAGATCAATCTTCCTCCATCTTCTCCGTCAGCCCTGATATTCTATTTTCCTCCCCATTGCTCCCCTTGGCCAGGTGTGCTGCTTGCCCCTAAACTAGCCCAAGGGGCAAACAGCACCGCCTAGCCAGGTGAGCATGTGCGGTGGGGAGAAGGGGAAGATTTAAGTTTTATTCTTGCTAGTGGCGTATTTGACTTGATTCAAGCCATTCTATACCGAAGGGGGTTTTATTTGACGTGACAAGCTTCTCGCTAAACTCTAGATATGTGAACTCACCTTCCGCGTGACTTTATAATTATGTTGTCCTCCCATTAACCCAGCTGCTCATCAGCCTCGGCTCGTGTTCATTTGAGGCCCCAATCCTGCATGGAGAATTGTGCACGTGGATCCATGCATCCACACAGAGCCCGAGGGCTTGAGATGGTAAGCTCTCTGCGACCAGGATTCCATCTATCAGGAAGGCAAAATCACAGTGCACAGCTATGGAGCTCTGTGGGTAATAAACAACTCTGCCTGTGTATTTTGGACTGGCCCTCGCCAGTCAAAGCCAAGGCAATTTACAAACTAGGAAACCTCAGTTTGTTCAGGGTATTTTTTTTTAAGGGGGTGGGGGCGGTTATGCTGCAACAAGATTGCAATCACATGAGCATAGGAATTTACAATACAGACTGCCTAGCTGAATGGTGTTGCATACTTAAGGCCTAAACCAAAAAAGTACATCTACAATCTACAAGAAGCCATAGAGCAAACGTCTGTTTGACTAACATGGCAACGCCGCCTGCACAGAAACACCAAAGCAGATTGGTGCTCACCGGCTCCAGTCTTGATGTGGTTCAGGGGAAATACGTAACACCTAAAGGGGTGAAAATGGGAAGCGCTCATTTAGTTTTACGTTACCTCCCCCTCCACAATATATATGTTCCATTCCATGCATCCGATCAAGTGGGCTGTAGCCCACGAAAACTTATGCTCTAATACATTTGTTAGTCTCGAAATGCCACAAGTCCTCCTGTTCTTTTTGCGGATACAGACCAACACGGCTGCTACTCTGAAGCCTGTCTTCTGGCAGTGGCCAGTGCCAGGTGCCCCAGAGGGAATGAACAGAACAGGTCATCATCAAGTGATCCATCCCCTGTCACCCATTCCTACCTTCTGGCAAACAGAGGCTTGGGGACACATCCCTTGGGGACATAGAAAATGTCCAGCAACCATTCTGCTCTAAAAACGGACACTGAAAGGCATCGGTTAGATCTAAGAGTCGTGGTATCTTTAGTGCCCATGCAGAATTGACAAGAGGTCTGTTTTTGAGATGATGCCTCGAGGATCCTCACACAGCAAAACTGCATCATACCCAATTGATCTACAAGACGAGGAGGCTGATCCTGTCAATATTCTACTGTTACTGGGAGGTTATCCTAAGATTACAAACACAGAATGTGCACCATGCCATATGTCAGCGTTTACTAAACTAACTAAAAGCCTTTTGTTTTTCCCAAGTCCATGCAGAATTGAACAAGGCAAACTGACTACAGACACGGATCAGCCACCCATCCAGTTATTAGGATCAAAACTGGCCCTCATAGCCCACAGTGATAATATTTTGCCCTGCAGGAGGCCTTAGACTATCAGCTGTCCTACCTTTACTTTAGGATGCTGGATGTAATGCTGGTGTAAGATGAGCACTAAAGATCAGGAATGTTATTCACAAAGCAGCAGTGCAAGACTCTCTCAGCAACCCACCAATCCGCTGCAGCCTTGATTTGGAGGGACCACCTTTAGGAGGCTTTCTCCCTTGCTCCTTCAAACGTTGGCTTCCCTGCTGAGTGCCCGCTGTGGCTTGAATTATCTGGGTTACCCCTCTACTAGGTGGGCTGAGAGCCCAACTCATCCTTAAAGAGGCTATGGAATATCTGCCTCTTTACTTTTGTTCACCACCGCATTGGTTTCAACAGCAGTGACTCAGAGGTGAAGCGGTACGTAGCTATTTACTTCTCTTTTGAGCCATCCTGTCCCAGCTTTTGACTTAACATTCCCTTAGTTTGATCAAGTCCCAAACAGCATGGGGACACACTGGCACCTTACGGTTTCCCAGAGGGACCGCAGTGAATTCCGAAGAGTAGTAGATGCTCCCAGGTGAGTGCGGACTTGAGCTTCTGCTCAGCAAGGAGGGAAGGAAAGTGCAAAGTAGAGGAGTTGTGGATCTGCCACTGAGCTATGCTGCTAGCTCTGGGGCCAAAGACATGGATGGCAAGTAGCTTCTCCAGGACTAAACCAGGGGAGGGCAAACTACGGCCCGGGGGCCGCATCCGGCCCTCCAGATGTTTTAATCTGGCCCTCGAGCTACAGCCGGGGAGCAGGGTTGGGGGCTTGCCCCACTCCGCGTGGCTCCCAGAAGCAGTGGCATGTCCCCACTCCGGCTCCTATGTGTAGGAGCAGCCAAGGGGCTCCACACACCGCCCCCACAGCTCCCATTGGCCAGGAACCACGGCCAACGGGAGCTGCAGGGGCAGCACCTGAGGATAGGGCAAAGCACAGAGCTGCCTGGCCGCGCCTCTGCCTAGGAGCCAGACGGGAGACATGCTGCTGCTTCTGGGAGCTGATTGAGGTAAGCGCCACCTGGAGCCTGCACCCCTGACCCCCTCCTGCACCCCAACCCCCTGCCCCATCCCTGATCCCCCTCCAACCGGCCAAACCCTTCGGTCCCAGTCCAGAGCACCCTCCTGTACCCCCAGCCCCTCATCCCTAGCCCCACCCCAGAGCCCTCACCTCCCTCACCCCAATCCCCTGCCCCAGCCTGGAACCCTCTCCTACACCTTGAACTCCTCATTTCTGGCCCCACCCCAGAGCCCACACCCCCAGCCAGAGCCCTCACCCCCTTCCGCACCCCAACCCCCAATTTCGTGAGCATTCATGGCCTGCCATACAATTTCCATATCCAGATGTGGCCCTTGGGCCAAAAAATTTGCCCACCTCTGGACTAAACCAAAGAGGTTCTAAGAGCACTTCATGGAGCTAGGAACATAAAGCGTAATGTCATTTGTAAGCAAGACCCTTATTTGTTACACAGGTTGCACCACAAAAAGACAGGGAATGTGGAGAGAAAGGATGGGGCTTAAAGTTACGAAGTAATTGGAAAAACAATGTAAGATTTCACAAATAAAACAATCAGCTTTTATTGTTGTATTACAAAACACTTTCGATATTGGCAATATTTTACAGTTCATTCTGTTCCTTCTTATAGCCGGCTGAAGAGCTCAGGGGGAGAAAACAGGAGAATGTTGGAAATTAAAGATGAAATTTCAGTGGACTTGCTAAAAAAAAAAAAACAATAAAAAAAACCCCAAAAAAACAAACAAAAAAAAACTTCCCCAGTCCCTCCCACCAAAATAAAAATCCAATTTCATGTCATTCGCCATCCAAAAGCGGCCATGGGTAAAGCAGCAGGCAAAACTCCGGCAATTTCACTACTGACTGCATCAAAGAGACAAAAAGAACATTCACAAGGGTCTCTAATATGGCCTGTTGCGCTGGTCATTTCTGAAGTCATTTCTGAAAGAAAAAAATCTGAGAGTCTAGCGAGTCACAGTAAAACTCCATCCTTCCCCACACCAACTTGTGCAAATTCCTTCTTTACCCTCCCCTTCTACTGTGCGCATTGCCAACTGCTGATAGCTGACATCTGCCTAGCAGAAATTATTATTAGTGACCTGTGTTTGTATGTCCTTTAGCAAAAGGAATCTACATTATGAACACACAGTTATACTACGAAAAATACATGTGCTTAATACTGTTACTTCATGATCCATGACTCCCCCCGGACTGTTCCAGCCAATCACATGTTCTATTAGTCAAAGAAAAGCCCACACTCCTAAAATCTACATCCCACACGTACTGACAAAGTAGCAAAGATAATGCTTACCTTCCTCCCATTTTACCACCATAGCCACCACCTCGGTCACCTCCCTCTGCTACCGCGCCCTCTGTATCCTCTTTCACCTCCAAAACCACCTCTCCCACGAAAGTCTGCAAGGGAGAAATGCAAGATCAAAACCATGTTGTTAAAAGGCCACAAATGTAACTAAAACCGTCAGAAGCAACTCATTACACTTGTGCTGATCTCTTACACACCTCCTCCTGATGGACGTGAATCTTCCGGTCTGGGCTCATTGCACTGATTGCAGGAATTCCTGCGAGCAAAGTTCATATTACCACAGCTCCTGAAAGAGACAAAGATTCCTCAGACGGAGTTTTCTCAACAACTGAATGTACATACATGAAACACTGCTACCAAACTAAAACAACACTTACGGGTTAGGACAAATCCAATCACCATTTTTGGGATCCCCACTTCTACCCTGGAAGCCTCCACCTCTTCCAAATCCACCTCGTGAACCTGTGGATAGAATTATAATTAGAATAAAGCAGGGGAAGTGCTCCTGTAATCTACACACGAGACATTTATTTGCAGACTATCACTGACTTCAGGCCCCAAGTGACAGACTCAGTTTCTTGGTACAGCAATAAGAGATAGTTGATTTAATCAGCCACCTTCTAAGATTATAGTTTCAGTGAATTAGGAACTCTGGAAATGGATGACAGCCTGTAAATAACAACAAAGTGTAATTTACAAACTGAGCACTTTAGAATTTCTTATGAAATGCTAAAATGTAATTAGCCAAAAGAGAAAACATTTAATATTTAAAAGGTACTGCAAACGCTCTATTAGAGTTTAAACATCTGTCAAACCTCTGAACTGTAGGACTCAAGTCTCCCCCAGTGTATGTATTTGGGCAGCTATAGAGCTTCAAGTATGAATGTGCTTATTTCAGCTCACGCAGAAGGGGAAATATTGTGCAGGAGCAGCACCTGGTGGCCAGAAAAGTCCGCTCCATGTATTTTCTACTTCTTCCCTTTTCAGCACTACAAGTACTTTACCAGCTGATAGATTTATAATTAATCAGCTTGAACTCTGTCACATGCATTACTGAAGTTTCATTGAAATTCTAATACACATCCAACTCCAACCACACATGAACAGATCAAGTCACAGAATAAACTAAATATATGCTCTCCCTGACCATGTACACCAGGGTTATTCCAATACACGCATCAGGATTCTGTCCTTGCTTTTGGCATCAGAGTCCTGACCTTTTACACAAAATGGAGTTCTTAAAAATGATCTGTTTATCAGCCACCTAAAATTCTTGGCCTAAAAACTAGTGTTTGTTCACAAGAGTCACAATGTGTAAAACCCTCATGTTAAAGGAAGTGTAGTAAGATCAATATCCAGCAGACTCATTTGATAAGGCTGTACTATGCGAAGGGTCTGGGATTTTCAAAGAGGGCTATGGGAGTTGGGCACCCATCTTCCATTAACTTTGAGCAGGAGTTGGGTGCCCAACTCCCTGCACTCCCTTTGCAAATCCCAGACAATGCATCCTAAGACAATCGCTGAGAACGCAGTGTTGTGTAATTATACACGCCCAGCCTTGAAGTTGCTACTTCACCATTTCTTTATAAGCCAGAATGAGCACTGAACCAGAGAGCATCTCCGCATTGGGAACATATAGAACTAGTTATAGTCCAGTCCAGAAGAGTGGACTACAGACTTCAGTTTTCCTGAACTCCCACATGCTGGTGCCATCCCTACTAACCCCCTAAGTGCCAGAAATCTCTTCCACCATGCCTTTCCAGAGCCCACACTTCATTATTTAACAAATTACTGCCATAAGGTTAGTCCTCTTAATAATAACTTAAAAAAAAAAAAGAGAGAGATCACAAGCTAAAGCATTTAACATGCACAAGGAAAGACCCTCTCAGTTTTACTACCACCTCGACGTCCGCTGCCACCACCACCTGCTCCACCTCCTCTCAGAAATTCAGGCCTCCTGGTTGCAAACGAAACTTTGATAACGTTGCCATGGAATTCCTTTCCTAAAAGGGGACAGAGAAAGAGGAACAACTCACAGGAGCTCAATAATGAACAGCAAGATCCAAAGGGACCGTAACTTGCATTGTTAAATTCAACACCAGCAGTATGAGAAAAAACATCCCGGTAAATCAAAATGCTTTTGAAAATATGAGTTGTAGCATCGTATCACATCAACGCACAGATGGCAAACAGTAAGGAGATACAGATTTGTATTTACATCTGTTCTTGATATAATATGCTATCACAAAGAGATGCGTATTTAAATCAAAGTATGATCTACAAGTTGCAATTTAAATTAAGGTCACATGATGCAAACACGTAACACATTTCCCTGCTATGCTTGACATCAGTATAGCTTATTACAGGGCAGTTTAAATATGTAAGAATCTTGATCCTGCCAATCAGACAGCAAGTTTCCATATCAATATATAGTATGGAACCAATATATCCCCACGTGGGAAAAAGACAGGCACGTGTTTATTGTAAGGTTGCAACCAGCAGCATGTATTATAAAAAGTTAAAGTTTTATCACAGGACACTATGGGGCCTATTACTGTTAGGGTGCATCATACAGCAACCATAGTAATGTCCTTAAGATCAATCAATTTGAAACACAGTAGCAAAAAATAAGGCATTAAAAACAATTTGCTAGTCAATTTCTTTTTGCTTACCATTACATGAACTCCAAGCCTAAGCACATCCCTCGCTCTTTGATGCTTAGGTCTATGTATGCCAAGTGTCAGTGGAAACACAAAGCCATTAGAATGGGGACTAATATTGTTTAAACTTGTTGTTACGATAAAGCAGTATAACTGTCCTTTTTTCTGCAGTGGAACTCTTCAAGACTGACAGAAGCATGTTTTTGGAACCTGCTCCCCCTCTCCATTACAGAGGGACAGTTTTCAGAGCTTCAGGGCACAGCCCAAAGCTTCTGATCAAGCTTTCAACTGGCTATGCGATAATTTCTAGCTATGGGGCAAAATATTGTTTTTTAAAATCTTATTTTGAAGGACTTGTTTTGCTAATATATGGTTTTAATTGTAAGATGCAATTAACACCCGTTATAAAGCGTTTAAGGAATAATAAGCTAGCACCATACGCTGTATGCTCAAACTAGCTATATACATTGGTTACTGCAGTGCCCAAGTTTATGTTCTCACAGATAAATGTTAAAGAAAGCATCCACATGAAGGAAAAATAGGAGCATAAATGAAGGGAAGATGTTACAAAAAGAATCATGATAGGGCTCAATTTAATTTGGTTTGAAGTACTTTTGGAGGCAGTGTGGTCTAATGGACAGGGCAACAAAACTGGAAGCCTGGAGACCTGGGTTCCATTTCCATCTTCCAGGCTGTCTTGCTTTGGGCAGATCACTGTTCTGTGCCTCTGCTTCCCCTCCTGCTCTTTGTCCATCTTGTCCATTTAGATTGTCAGTTCTTTAGTGCACAAGACTTCTTTCACTGTGTTTGTAGAGTGTCTACCACAATGAGCTCTTAACCTTGTCTGGGGTTTCTAGGCACTGCCACCAACACCATGATACCTCCCACACCACACATCAGTTTGTATTCTCCTGCTTACTGCGATATTCTAGTTTCATGGGCTGCACATGAAGATGCATGGTCTTGAATCACATCAGAAAAACCCACCCTCACATTAGCTAAACTGGATACAGGGACAACTGACATGCAGCCCCATAAATAATGGTTTTCGTCGCAACTAGTACATCAGAGAAAAAACAGGAGTCTGTTTGAAATGAATTTAAAAAGTGGCATGCAGTCCACATGTGAACATTAATATGCAGTCTCTACTGATTGCTAAGTTTCACGCACAAAAGGAAGAACAGGCAATCTTACCATCAAACCAGTCAATGGCTGCTTTAGCAGAAGGAGGGTCATCAAAAGATACTGTTGCTTCTCCCTTTGGTTTGCCTGTATCCTTATCTGTATATAGATTTATCATAAGCTTGCCAGTCTTTTTGTTAGTCTGGGGGGGGGAAAAAAAGGTGTATTTCCTCAACATTCAGTTAATGGAGAAAACTGCTTGAGCCAGTTAACAGTAAGAGCTGTTATAATTAATTAGTGTTCACAGAGGAGATTCCTGGGGGCTAGCTTACAGAAACAAAGTGGTTGATGGAAGAATACTGACTGCCCTCCAGCTCACAGCATGAACCTTAAAATGAAGTGGCCCCAGGCCTTGTTTGGACATTAGTTGACGTCAAGTACAGTGAATGGGAGCCCTGATTTGGATTTCTGGGGATAGGAAGAAAAGCCCTGAGTGAGTGGGTCATGGAGCATAATTACTTGTTGGAGCATTTGAGATTTTCTACTGATAGGGACATGTGGTAAGGGAATTGATTAGAGAATTAGGAATAGAAAAGAGAAACGGCAGCTGACATCTGTGCTAGTAAGTTGGTAGGACCAGCAATTTCTTTTTCTGTAAACTGTCATCTGCGACCCAGTAGGATAAAAGAAAGATCTACAATTTCTGGGAAATAAAAGGGAGGAAACATGCTGCTACTCAAGACACTTCCAACATATTCGATCTACAGGTTTCCTAATAAGAAAAGGAGTACTTGTGGCACCTTAGAGACTAACCAATTTATTTGAGCATAAGCTTTCGTGAGCTACAGCATCCGATGAAGTGAGCTGTAGCTCATGAAAGCTTATGCTCAAATAAATTGGTTAGTCTCTAAGGTGCCACAAGTCTTCCTTTTCTTTTTGTGAATACAGACTAACACGGCTGCTACTCTGAAACAGGTTTCCGAATGATCTGTCACCACACACACCTTTATAATACCTATTTGCTTGAAATAATCAGCCACTTGATCTGTCGAAACACCTTCTCCAAGTCCTTGCACAAAGATGGTGTTGTTATCAGAGTTGTCAGATTCTGTATCTATTAAAAAAAGTAAGTTTTTTTACCAAATGCTTTTGTACGGATTAGCCAGAAGCAGATGTTACATGCTGCAGCCGTTAAAAATGTTACTTCATCTGAGGTCAGAGAAAACCTGCATAATTTTAGACTCATATCTGTGGTCCTGCAACATTTCCTTGGATACCTGGCGGATTGGGAGCTCTCATATTAACGAAGGGAGAGAAGTCTGAGGTCGTTCTGTTAGCGCTAACACCAACAGCTTCAGAAGTACAGAAAGATAGCCTTAGGATGCTACAGTACGTCACAGAATGATTACATTGACTATCTGACAACTTTTCTCTGCACCTAGGACATTCAAGTAGAGTAGGCCCCAAATGCATAGATTTTAAATAAAAAAGAGACCTATAAAATTTAACTGAAATACCACGGAAGACACAAAAGCACTGTATCAGCATAAAAGAATCAGAAAAATGAAACCAAAAATAAGTGTGAAACAGATTAGTCTACTTTCATATCCAAGACAGAGTGCAAAAAGTGAATAGCAATTGTAAAGAGTAATTCAGCTTTTGAAAAGTCCTTCAAGTTTTAGTGAAGGACTATGGTGAAACAAGTATAAAAATTAAAAGAATGTTGCCAAAATAATCTAAATCAGAAAATTATCTATATTCAGCATCTTCAAGGAAAACAAGATCATCATCAGTTACTTGACTCAAGTCGATCCAGAATTCACTAGACAAAACTTGACTTTTACTTGCTGAGCAATGCGTTAAACATTAAAAGAATACGCTTGTATAGTGACATGCACCAGTATTTAACAGAGCTGATCTATCTCAGAAGAAAGCCCACCTGGTTAAACTACATCTGAATCACACAAAAATCCCAGCCACCCCACCTCTTTCCAGGCATGCATTTTGAAGTACATCAAATCATAGAAATGCAAGGTTGCAAGGGACCTAGAAAACTCAACAAGTCCAACCCCCCTGCACTGAGGCAGGACCAAGTAAACCTATATCATCCTGACAGGTGTTTGTCCAACCTGTTCTTAAAAACCTCCAATGAGGAAGATTCCACAACCTCCCTCGGAAGCCCATTCTAAAGCCTAATTACCCTAACAGTTAAAAAGTTTTTCCTAATATCTAACCAAAATGTTCCTTGCTGCAAATTAAGCCCATTACTTCTTGTCCTACATTCAGTGAACATGAGCAACAAGTGATTACCATCCTCTTTATAACGTCCCTTAACATATTTGAAGACTTAGGTTAAAAAAACTGGGGGGACCTGCTTTCTTCATAGGTCAGATTTCCTAAACTTTTTATTGCTCTCCACTGACTATTCCCAATTTGTCCATATCTTTCCTAAAGTGTCACCCAGAACTGGACACAATTCTCCAGCTGAAGCCTCATGAGTGCCAAATAAAGGGAGACAATTACCTCATGTCTTACATTCGGCACGCCTGTTAATATACTCCACAATGATATTAGCATTTTTCACAACTGCATCACATTGATAACTCATGTTCAACTTGTGTTCCACTATCACCCCCAGATCCCTTTTAGCAATACTACCCCGTAGCCAGTTATTCCCCATTTTGTACGTGCACATTTGATTTTTCCTTCCTAAGTGTAGTACTTTGCACTTGTCTTTATTGAAAGTCATCTTGTTGTTTTCAGATCAGTTCTCTAATTGGTCAAGATTCTCCAAAGTGCTTGCATATGTTACAAATGCTATGAAGGATGAAGAGCTGCAATCCACACAATGCTTGTTTTCTTACCAGCATCTGATTTCTGTCCATAATCCCTTTGACCTGTAGAATGGGTAAAAAAAATGAAAGAAAGGCTACTTTAGCAAGAACAGCCTTTTAAAAAAGCTTGTTAAATAAGATAAGAAGATATTCAAGCTACATATGCAATGTATCTAAAATCTAAGTCACTAACCAGAGATCTGGAGAATATTTAGATTAAAATGTTCAATAGCAGGCATCTGCAGAATGTTAACACGTTCTTTAGCTTGCAGTATATGGCATCTGCCACATTAGCATTATGCTGGTGTTTATCTTGCAAATGCTGGTTGTCAGACGACCAAGCAGTTTACCACAATTATTTTGTCACTAGTACCTTTCAAAGCAGCATTTGTAACAAAAAACCCAAAATCCGGTGAAGGTTGTAAATCTCCACAATTTCTTTCATGCAATTTGACAGAGTAGAAATCCAGTTTATTGTTAAAAGATTGACTTTTAAAGCACACAAACACACCAGCCCCAGAAAAACAGAAACGCTAGAATGCTTCTACTGGATAGTAATAAGATATTGGTGGCTTTTAGATTTATACAGAATTTCCACTGAAACATTTTGGATACTTGGCACTTACCACCAAAATTTTTGAAGCCACCACGGTCACCACCACTGCAGAGGAAAAATTGAAGAAATGATTTCTTCCTCAAGTCTCTATGTGCTGAGCCTAAGGCTCAATCTACACTTATCTGATCAAAAGTTATTGTCTATTGGCTAAAGCATCACCTCTATGTTTTGCACACTATTTATTTGTGTTCAAAGATTATTCTTTCAGATAGCTAATCTCCTAGGGTACGAATCCCAGAAACTAATCTCCAAAAGAATTGCTGAAACAAAGGTGGGTGTATACACTAATTAAAAAACCCTTTTCCAGCTCACAAGCCAAACGAATGCTATTTAAAACTGGGATTTAAAACTGAGGCATACTTTTTATAAAAATTAGTGGGCTTTACTCCAATCTAGCAGCTGCATGGATAGTTAATTACTACTTGTGAACTGAAATTAATTAATCTCTATTCTTATGCATTCAAGTAAATTTGGATAAATTAGTATTACTAAGCACACTCTGAAGTAGGATGTGTGAGGATCTGGGAATCTGTACAACAATGTACTACTAGCATTTGACATTAATGATAAAGTGTGTGTATGAGAATGAGCTTCAATAGCAGAGGTCGTGAACTTTAATTAATTCATTCTGAAACCTGTGGCACAAAATGTAGACCAAGTTAATAGCTTACACACACAGATTGCCAGGGAATGAGGGGAGTTTAGTTGTTTTGAAGTCCCATTCCAAATTTAATGGAAGTAAAAGCCTGATATCTCCCACACTTATTCTATTTAATGTGTGGTTCATGGTATTGATATTTCCCACATTTAACATTAACAACTAAATCCAGGTGCAAGGATTAAAACACTCAATATTCAAGGCCTTTAGAAAAAGATCAGCAGCATTTTTAAAGTTAACAGCCAAGCCTTTCCAAGTTTACAAGACTGCCGGCTTGTGTGGGAGTGCAGGTTTTCCACAGCAGTTACCAGCAGTAAACTGGAAAGTTCATTTCTCATTGTGGGAACTCTTATGCAGAGTAACTAAGATAAAGAGAGTACAAGTAAAAATCCTCAACTAGCACTCCTTGCCTAACCCTTGGAGGTTCTGCCCCACAGCTAATGCACCAGCCACTGCAGTAGTTTGTTTATGATTAAAATCTGGAGGGACTCCTAATTAACTCCAATCTCTCAACTTGTCAAAGTCCAGGTGTGGGACAAGAGCTCAAAACAAGGGACATTAGTAAAATAGGCTTGTGACGTTGCACCCCATAAGGCTTAATGGAAATATGCTTATGAATGTATATATGACATAACTGGAATATGTTTTATGCTACATATGCCATGTAACATCCCTAAAGGTTATGATCTACTGAATACATTCCTCCTATTTGTATGCATGTATCATTTTTGTACTTGAAGTTATGAATATTGGCTGTATACTTGCCTGATTTCTAAGTAGCCTTAGTAGAGCATTTGGTCAGCTTCTTGAGAAAGGAATGTGCAAGTTAAATGCCCAATCAAGAACCACTTAAGCCAACAATGAACTTGAAAATGCCAATCCACATCTGAGCTTTCCCAGGAAGGTGGCTTGGCTGATAAGAAACTCAGTCATACATGTACATGTGACTTGCCCATGTGACACCAAAACTCCATTTTGTAGCTGGATTCTACACAGGTGTAGAAGAGAGAGAGAGAAAGTCTATTTAAGCCCATGGGAGACCCCTCCATTTTGGTCTTCATCTGGCTAAAGAGATAACCTCTCCACCCCCAAGGATACCTGGAAGAAACTGGAACAAAGACAGTAACTAAAGGGAGTGTGAGAGATTGCTGGACCCAGACTAGAAGGAGACTAGTCTGTAAAAGGAAGTTTACTGGAATTCCTCTAAGGGTGAGGTTTTTATCTGTATTCAGTTTTCTTAGACATAGATTTGCGTGTTCTATTTTATTTTGCTTGGTAATTCACTTCGTTCTGTCTGTTACTACTTGGAACCATTTAAATCCTACTTTCTATATTTAATAAAATCACTTTTTACTTATTAGTTAACCCAGAGTATGTATTAATACTGGGCCAGAGGGCCGGGGAGGGAACGACAGCTGTGGATCTCTCTCTATCAGTGTTATAGAGGGCAAACAATTTATGAGTTTACCCTGTATAAGCTTTATACAGGGTAAAACGGATTTATTTGGGGTTTGGACCCCACTGAGAGTTGAGATCTGAGTGTTAAAGACAGGAACACTTCTTAAGTTGCTTTCAGTTAAGTCTGCAGCTTTGGGGCACATGGTTCAGAACCTGGGTCTGTGTTGGAGCAGACTGGCGTGTCTGGCTCAACAAGACAGGGTGTTGGAGTCCCAAGCTGGCAGGGAAAGCAGGGGCAGAAGTAGTCTTGGCACATCAGTTGGCAGCCCCCAGGGGGTTTCTGTGATCCAACCCGTCACAAGGCTATGAAGCATCAATATGGGATTCATTTCTTTAGGATACTGTATATACATTTTCATAGAATCATAGAATATCAGGGTTGGAAGGGACCCCTGAAGGTCATTTAGTCCAACCCCCTGCTCGAAGCAGGACCAATTCCCAGTTAAATCATCCCAGCCAGGGCTTTGTCAAGCCTGACCTTAAAAACCTCTAAGGAAGGAGATTCTACCACCTCCCTAGGTAACGCATTCCAGTGTTTCACCACCCTCTTAGTGAAAAAGTTTTTCCTAATATCCAATCTAAACCTCCCCCACTGCAACTTGAGACCACTACTCCTCGTTCTGTCATCTGCTACCATTGAGAACAGTCTAGAGCCATCCTCTTTGGAACCCCCTTTCAGGTAGTTGAAAGCAGCTATCAAATCCCCCCTCATTCTTCTCTTCTGCAGGCTAAACAATCCCAGCTCCCTCAGCCTCTCCTCATAAGTCATGTATTCTAGACCCCTAATCATTTTTGTTGCCCTTCGCTGGACTCTCTCCAATTTATCCACATCCTTCTTGTAGTGTGGGGCCCAAAACTGGACACAGTACTCCAGACGAGGCCTCACCAATGTCGAATAGAGGGGAACGATCACGTCCCTCGATCTGCTCGCTATGCCCCTACTTATACATCCCAAAATGCCATTGGCCTTCTTGGCAACAAGGGCACACTGCTGACTCATATCCAGCTTCTCGTCCACTGTCACCCCTAGGTCCTTTTCCGCAGAACTGCTGCCTAGTCATTCGGTCCCTAGTCTGTAGCGGTGCATTGGGTTCTTCCGTCCTAAGTGCAGGACCCTGCACTTATCCTTATTGAACCTCATCAGATTTCTTTTGGCCCAATCCTCCAATTTGTCTAGGTCCTTCTGTATCCTATCCCTCCCCTCCAGCGTATCTACCACTCCTCCCAGTTTAGTATCATCCGCAAATTTGCTGAGAGTGCAATCCACACCATCCTCCAGATCATTTATGAAGATATTGAACAAAACCGGCCCCAGGACCGACCCTTGGGGCACTCCACTTGATACCGGCTGCCAACTAGACATGATCACTACCCGTTGATCACTACCCGTTGAGCCCGACAATCTAGCCAGCTTTCTACCCACCTTATAGTGCATTCATCCAGCCCATACTTCCTTAACTTGCTGACAAGTTTTCTGTTACAACAAATGTGAAGTCATGAATGCAAGATGTAATTTACAATTTTAAAAAGTCAAAAGTTTTCTGTGAGGTGACGGTAAGTCTGTCTAAAACAAGGGCCAGGATTTCATTAATCATTATGTAAGCTAGCTTTAAAGACTTATTACCATACAAGGAAAACAGCTGTTAGATCATGACAAAACCTTGCAGCAACTGCTGTTATATTTACATTCATGGAATGTTACCTTCAGCTAGGATCTATTTTCATGAACTTGCTGTTGACTTTCAAATGTTATATATACACAAAGTTATTTGAAACACTAAATGGCAGACATTCATATGCAATTATATTCAGCTGCATGAAAGATAAAAATGTATGGGTTCCAAACACTATTTACAGTAGCCTCTGCTAAAGGATGGATAATTTTAAAGACTGATGATAAAACAAGAATGGTGATCACAAAAATTCTATTGCAAACACACTTCTGCCACCCACAATTCACTTCAATCCCCTAAGAACCGACCAACAGGTTTCCTTGTACCCTTCTTATTAAATGTCAGTTAAAAACTTTGCCCCATTGGCATATTAGCTCAGAACTAGGTACACTGATTTATAGTGAATGAATCAGTCACGCAAATTTTGTCTTCAAGATTTCAAACTCTGGATTCCTTCCCCAGTTCACAGGACTGCACGATTCAGAACGTGCATTTTTTCTGGTTTGTAAATATACAACATGAAAGATGTAGATAGAGAAATAAGACACTTATTTACAGTAAACAATCAGGATGTTATGGAAAATGAACACTGTGAGTAAAAAATGTATGCCCCAGGATTCAAGAAGGTGACTGAGCTGGATATGTAATGCCTGAAGCCACAGGCTGAAAGCATTACTACCCAACAGAGATCACTTTTTGCAACTTATAGACTGTTTACATTTTTACTATACACCTCTACCCCAATATAACGTGACCCGATAGAACATGGCATCGCATACAATGCGGTAAAGCTCCGACACACTGCTCTGAGCAGCGTATTAAGGGTGCCGAGCCGGGGCCGAGCGGTTGGATAAGGGGCAGAGGGTCTCAGGGGCGGTCAGGGGCTCCCCCCTGCAGGGTCTGGGAGTCAGAAGCTGTGGGGGGGGGGGCCTTTTTGGCCCCGCAGTCCCAGAGTGGCCCAGGGGATTTTGGGGGGCTGGGAGCAGCCTGCTCAGCTTCCCTTGCCCCAGCCATGTCACTTGGGGGAGGGGTTTTGGGGGAAGGGATCCCCCCCGACACTCACCGGCAGAAGCGGAGCAGCCCAGCCCCAGCCCGCTCCACTCCGCCAGCTCCCAGCCACGGCGCTCTGCTTCCTGCCGCAGCTGAGTGCGAGACCTTTCCCCAACCCCCCGCCCTCCCGCGACACAGCTGGGGCCGGGGCAAAGAAAGTGGAGCGGACTGTGGCCGCATCACTCTGCTTCCCGCCTCTGGTGAGT